TCTTTGCTGCCAAAAGCCATTTTGTGTATTTCAGTAGCAACCTTTGATGCATCATTTGTTTGCCTCTTCTTAAACCATGGTGCACACAAGCTTCCTAAGAGAAGAGTATAACTAACAGCTTCCAATTAGTTCTTTCAATGTAAGTCTTCGGAATTCCACCGCCACAGTTTCCACTTTCTGAATCAATAATCCATTTGTTAATCGTAATTATTCCACCACAGCCTTAAGCCGAGGGTCTATCGAAAATACTCCCTCCGCCTTACTTAGTCAGAAATCTCTCAAGCCACTTGGGGTAACAGTAAAAAGGGTGCTCAGCCCAAAATATCATTTTATATAACAAACGAAGTAAATAAGACCGAATTATGAAATCAGTAAAAGCATAGCATGACTGAGTAGAGATACTTAATCAAAACAGTGAGGAATAGTTGTAAAAAGCCCCTAAGGGTCCAAACAGCTTGGCACGAGGCCCAAATATGACATTCAACCCAAAATATGGTAATACTTTCTAACATATGATAGTATCAAGTAGTTTCAGTCAAATATGCAACTTAATAGTTGCTACGGGACGGACAAGTCACAATCCCCAACGGTGCAGCCCTCACGCCCGTCATCTAGCGTGTGCGTCACCTCAAAATAGTGAAACGAAGTGAATTCCGGGGTTTCATACCCTCAAGACAACATTTACAATCATTACTTACCTCAAACCGGACAAAACTCTAACCCGCGATGCCTTTGCCTCTCGACTCGGACTCCAAATGCTCCGAATCTAACCAAAATCAGTATAACATCATTAAAACATGCTAAAGGAACAAAGCCCATGCGAAAATTATCAAATTAAATCAAAAATTCCGAAATTGGCCAAACCCGACCCCCGGGCCCACGCCTCGGAATCCGACAAAAAATCACAAAACCAGAATCCGTATCCTCTCACGAGTCCATGCATACCAAATTTACCAAAATCTAACTTCGTTTGACCCCTCAATCGCCCAATTTTAACTCTCAAGTTCCAAGCCCTAATTCCCCAATTTTCACTCTTAAATCCCACAAATTTCATGCTTAATCCACTGAAAATCACCATAGAATCGAGTTTTAGGTTAAAAACATTACCTCAACGTGTTTCCCCTTGAATCCCTCTTCAAAGCCCTCCAAAAGCTCCAAAAACCGAGTTGAAATTGTGAAGAATGACCGAAATTCGCGAAGGGGCCTTTATATACTTTCTGCCCCAGGGATTTCGCACCTGCGACCCCATAAGCGCACCTGCGCTTCCGCTTCTGCGGAAAAATATCCGCTTCTGCAGATTTCACTTAACTCGCCAGCCCTCGCATCTGCGGTCGCCTTACCGCGCCTGCGGCATTACAGATGCGGTATAGCAAGCCGCACCTGCAGTCCTCCACGCACCTGCGCCTCCTTTCCGCTCCTGCGGAGCTCGCACCTGCGGTCCCCAATCCGCAGGTGCGGATATGACAGAACCAGCAGCACCAGCTGCAATTTCTCAAGTTCAAACTTTTCGATGGCCATCCAAAATCATCCCGAGGCCCTCGGGACCTCAACCAAACATGCCAACAAGTCACGTAATACCATTCAAATTTATTCCAACCTTTGGAACACTCAAAACAACATCAAAACACCAAATCACCCTCGGATTCAAGCCTAAGGATTTTCAAACTTTTGAATTCCGCAAAAGATCCCAAAACCTATCAAACCTCATCCGAATGGCCTGAAATTTTGCACACACGTCAAAAATGACACAACGGACCTACTCGAATTTCCGGAATTCCATTCCGACCTCGATATCAAGATTTCCACTGCCGACCGGAAAATGCCAAATTCCCAAATTTTGCCAATTCAAGCCTAAATCTACCACGGACCTCCAAATTACATTCCGAACACGCTCCTAAGTCCAAAATCACCTAACGATGCTATCCGAACTATCAGAATTCACATCCGAGGTCTTCTACACATAATTCAACATCCGATTGACTTTTCCAACTCAAGCTTCCGAATAACAGACTAAGTGTCTCATTCCACTCCAAGACCACCCCGAACACAGAACAACCAACACGATATGATGAAATATAGCTGAACAACACATAAAGAAGCAGAAATGGAGGAAGCGGGGTTGTAACTCATGAAACGACCGGCCGGGTCGTTACAAATACCTTATATATTACTCTCTCTGATCCATAATATGTGACGAATTTGCCTTTTTATTTTGGTCCAAAATAAGTGTCCATTTATATAATCAAGACAAAAATTCAATTTGTTTTTCCAAAATTACCCTTATGTATGTATTCCTAAAAGTCTTTTACTCCTTACATTAAATTATGCTGCAATATTTAATTAAGGGTAGTTTAGTCACACTAACTATTTTTATCTTGAATTTAGTATTTCCTTAATGGGTGTGCTCAAGGCAAATTGGTCACTTATTGCGGACCGGAGAGAGTATATATATATATAATATAATATATTTTTACCTAGGTATTTTACTTATAGTTAAAATAACTTTATATTATTTTATAAAATATTGATACATTTAATTTTGTCATGCCACTCAATTTGTTTAATCATATTCAAACTTGAACATATATTGAAACATGAAAACAACAAAAAATATTTAGTTTTAAATATTTATTTGAAATAATGAAAATAGATTTCGTTAACAAATGATAGTTTTTTATAGTCAGTAAAACTTTCAAAAAAATTCAAAGATATTTGCGTTTATTATTAAGTCTCTTAAAGCTTTTATCTATAAATATTATTTTTTTGAAAGTGTTAATTTGATGTGTTAGTGTGCTAAATGTAGGTATTTTCTTTATTTTATTAACAAATATGCCTTGACTGATAATCTATGAGCTTTAATTTTATAATTTTCGTTAAAATTATTTCATTAGGTATGGTTAAGAATGGTGACTTGAGATTTATTCACAGTAATGTTACTAATAAATTTAAAAATGCTACTTCTATATCTTGAAAATTAGTGTTAAGAAAAAATTAAATGTCGAATATATTATACAACTAATAAATCAGATAATGTCAAGTTATTTTAATTATAAGTAAAATACTTAGGCAAAAACATATTATACATTATATAATATAGAAGGTAATATATAAATGGGGATTTATAATGTCAAGGGCATAATAGACTTTTCAAGTGAAAGTTTTATAAAATTTGGTCAAAATGTCTATTGTGATAACTAGAGCATAGTAAATAATTTTTTTGTAACAAAAGAAAGAAAAGTGACTTTTGGGTAATGAACACAAAGTTGAATGACTTTTACGTAACCAAAATAAAGTGACATTAGGGTAATGAACACAAAGTTGAATGACCATCCATAAAAGTTACTGGAGAGTTCGTGTAAGCTAGCGTTTGGACATAGATTTAACTAAAACTTGAAAAAATAATTTTTGAAGTAGTTTTGAAAAATAATTTTTGAAAGTTGAAATTATGTTTAGACATGCATTTTATTTGAAAAAAATTTGAAGTTTTGTGAGTGGGAGAACAAGTTTCATCCAAAATCTTCCCTAAACTAGATTTTGGGAACTTGAAAAATAATTTCAAAAATAGATCATTAATCTATGAACAAACAATGTTATCAAAAAAGATTTGAAAAAACGGTGCCAAAATGTATGGCCAAACGGGGCCTAAAGACGACTTTGCTTCGAGCAAAATACTAAGGAAAAACAAAATTGCAGAAACCTAAAACTATGGAGATGCGGGGGATCGAACCCCGTGCCTCTCGCATGCAAAGCGAGCGCTCTACCATTTGAGCTACATCCCCATCATTGTGCTACCGAGGGCCTGGCTAGCTATTGGTCTCAAGATAAGTATATTTGACTCAACAAATGATTGCAGTTGTTCTATTAGGAAAAGTGTTTAGCATAATTCCTATTGTTTTGGGTGGATAATTCTTAATTGTATAACTAGTATACATGCTTAGAAGTTAGTTAGACCTTTTAAATTTTTTCGAGATTCATTACCACAACATAAACATAGATAGATCTAAATTTGATACCACTAGTTATAGACTTTAGAATGGATTCTCGTCTCAAAGGTACTAAAATCATTAACAAAAAAAAACTGATAAAATCTAGGAATTAGGATTATGAACTATTTGGCTTCCATTTAAATTGTTGAAAATACTTTAAACAATTTACATCAAAAAGTTACACCATGTTGCTTGTTGTGTAATTTTACGGAGATTAGTGCAACGCAATTCAGTTAAAGAAATGGGTCTTATTTTAGGCAATAGGATGCCCTAAAAGATGGTCCAAACGCTAATAAGAACTCCATTGACGCAATATATAGAGCCTGATTCAAGTATATTTCAACTTTCATAGCTGTGAGAAACCGTTTTGATCTGTAGATTCTTTAAATTTGCTTTGCCAATAATTACGATCAAGGTTAAAACAGAAGCAATTATAAGAAATTAGAAATCTAGCAATTATAAGAAATTCATTAATTTTTTCTTCACTAATTTCTACATACTTCAACGCAATAGGATGAAGAAACTTGCCATTCATATTGAACACTTAATGAACAAATCCAACTAAATTACCCCAAAACTCAAATTCACTACCCAATCACCTAATACAACACCTAGAGATCTAAAATTCCTGTGAAGCGGAACCCACTTCAGATTTTCCTTTGCCAATCTTCTTAGGAAGTAAATTCTGGTGAATATTGGGCAAAACACCACCATTAGCAATGGTAGCAGATCCCAACAACCTGCTCAATTCCTCATCGTTTCTCACAGCTAGTTGTATATGCCTAGGAACAATCCTGTTCTTCTTGTTATCTCTCGCAGCATTCCCAGCAAGTTCCAACAACTCAGCAGTAAGGTACTCAAGAACCGCTGAGAGATAAACCGGTGAACCGGAGCCAACTCGCTGAGCATAACGACCCTTTTTCAAAAACCTAGCAACTCGACCGACGGGGAACTGGAGACCCGCCTTTTGAGATCTGGAGACGGATTTTGAAGCATTTTGAGTTTTTCCTCTACCACCCACGGATTTGGTTCCTGTTGTTGAAGGCATGTTGACGTATTCGGTAGGAAATAGTTTTTGAATTTGAATTGCTTTCCCGGTACGTTTTCCCAGTGATACATTTTTCTGTGTTTATATAGAGTGGATGTGAATTGTTTTGATTGGTTCGCTTAGCTTCCACACGGATTGCCAACTTGGCCATCTTTTTCCTTTTTTTGGTCTTCCTGCCACTAAACTTATTGGTTGTTTAGTTATATTAGGATCGCCAGCCTGGCATCTACTTTCTGCACTTTCCCTTTTCTTGTTCTAGCTTTAGAGTCTGTTTGGAAAGCCACCTTGTAATTGGAATTTGTATAATTACTAGGGTAGTAATTACACAGCCTAGTAATTACATAGTTGTATAATTACGGTAGCCTGTTTGTTAATTACAGTGTAATTACAAGTTTACTGTTTGGTTGCACAAGTGTAATTACACAGTTAGATTAAATTTCAAATTAAATAATTATCAAAACTAAAAACTAATATAATAAATATATACCTATAAGATTTTATAAGTATAAATGATAGTATATTTGGTATTTAAGATGTATATTTTTTCGTGAATATACATTAATTAATAATCATATATTTATAACTAATATTGTAAAAATAATTTATATATATATTTTTTAAATTAATAATATTTAGTTTAGATACTTACAAACTANATATATATATATATATATATTAAATTAATAATATTTAGTTTAGATACTTAAAAAAACTAAATAAAATATACGTTTTGTAAGAACATCATGGAATTCATGTTTGATAAAATTAATTAATACTTATCAATATAGCGTCATAATATTATTCAAATGTTTGACAAAACTAATCTACCAATTCTAACTAGAAAATGAACAACATGCAATGTGAGTCAATACTACAAAACAAGTAAATTGGAACCATGAATATAACACAATTTCAAAAATTCAAAAAAATAAAATAGTTTAACTTATGTCAAATTCCAACATAATAATAGTAAGTCCCACTGCAACTTAAGATAGGACACATGATAAGTTTATAACCACATTTAACAACGAAGTTCCACTTTAATTGCATCACTCATTATATGCCAAGTTTATTAATGACTCATTATTTCTAATATTAGGAGGTGTAGTTTCAAAAAATAGAATAATAAAATAAATAAAAAATAAAATAAAAGCAATTACATGGAATCACAAGAAGTAAAGATTGAGAAATAAAAGATAAATAATGTACAAAGAAAACATATTTTAAACTTTCAAAAGAAATTAAAAAGTAAAAATAAAATTAAAAAATTACAATAATAAAATATAAAGTTATAAAGAAAATAAATCAAAAAAAAAAGGAAAGAAACTAAAAAGTAACCTTGTAATTACACAGTGTAATTACAACCAATTCTCACCTTCCCCTTGAGAATTGGAGAGTGTAATTACACCACTCCAATTACCCCCAATTTCATGCTGACCAAGTAATTACTTGGCCAAACAAACATGCCAAACTGTGTAATTACACCCAATTACACTCAAATCCAATTCCAAGGTGGCTTTCCAAACAGGCTCTTAATGTTTTTTCTCTTCACAGAATTAAAAGAAAGTGTAGGGAAGATTAATCGGAGGCTACGGTTAGATGACAACTATAGTTCAAGCTGATGGTACTATAATTTCAATTAAGAATTATGTTCTCTTTAAAAGTGTTATAAAATAATAAAAGAAGAAAAAAAAGTATTTCAGATAAAAGTAGAGAGAGAATTCTTTATTGATTTGGGATGAATTACACTTGAATAGAATCCCTTTATTTATAGGGAAAAAGTGGCTTAGCCACCAAGTAACAAACCCTAAAATCTGTCTAAAATATAGACATTCACTTTAACTACAATTTTATTTATACCAATCCCCCTTGAATGCCTATTCAACAGATAATGTGCCTCGTTAATACTTAAACTAAAATAAAACCCAGTGGGAAAAATTCTAGAGAAGGCAAAGAGCACACATGTTTAGAAATACGCCTTTTGGTTGCCTCGATAAAAACCTTGTAAGAAAAACCTAGTGGGACAAAACCTTGTAAGGGAAAAAGATTACAATGCATATTAACTCCCCCTGATGAGAGCATCAATTCACATCTTTAAGCCTTCGCATTCTAATCTTGTACACCATCTTCAAAAGATCGTTAGTAGAGATTCGGTAAACAAATCAGCCATATTAACTTGAATGAATATGTTGCACCTTGAAATCATCATTCTTGTATATATGTAATGTCTTCATATAATGTTGTGGAATGGCCTTTTCAATATCTCCATAGAGGTATTCTCGCTATCACATTATCATGCTTATAGTCATAGCAAGATACCTATGTGCAAAAATTGCACTTAGGATGTGATAATTCAGGACCAAGAAAGTCTCCAAGAATTGAATATGCTATCAGCATTTTAAATCGTTCATGGATTGTCATATAAGTATAGTCAAATAAGCCATATAAATAGACTTTAGATTTACATCACGTTTTCATGTCATGCCAAACATATAAGATACATGAAAGTGACTGCACACACCATTGACTTTATACTTTCGAGTGTTTGAACTACATGTCCAAAACTACATGTCTTTCATATGAAACCAATTTTATTCAAATTTTGTCTCGTCCATTTGGCCAATTTTTTGTGTCTGTATCCGACAGACTTAAAATCCTCATCTATACTTAGTGCTATCATAGATGTCATCGACGAACGTCTTATATCGGTTCCAACTTTTTTTTCATAAGACATAACATAAAGATCTCTTCATTTATATTTTCAGGTACCTGAACCTCTCCTGAGATTTTATGAAGTGTTATATCACGATCCAAAATTTACTATAGGTCGTGATGGCCCCAACGTCTCCGTTAGGCTAGCCAACACTTAATTATTCATTTTTATTACTTTCGAAATCGTGAATCTTATTAGATAAAGAAATCAACGCTTTAAAAACATGGCAACTTACAATTTAAATAGAATAAATAACAAAATAGTGTAAATGCTAGGCAAAATTACAAACAATTTACAGAATATCCCAAAACCTGATGTTACAAGTGCATGGGCATTTAAGGAGTACAAAAATAATATAACATCTTTCTGGAATATGAATAAGACAGGAATAAGTAAATAGTACGATGGAGACTCTGTGGGCTGCGGTAAGTAGCCTGGAATTTGCAGATCACCATAAAGTCTCCTCAGCAGTTGCACCTACGCGCCAAGATGACCACCAATTAAACATGTCAGATCCTGCACATTTAGTGCAGAAGTGCAGCATGAGTACGTAAATCAATGCATACCTAGTAAATATCCAGCCTAACCCCGGAGAAGTAGTAACGAGAGGTTGACATCGACACTTATTAGAGGTCCAATAAAGCAATATGGTAAATCATAAGCAGAGGTAAAGCACAACAACAATAATGGGGTAACACCGTAAATCACATAATCTTCTAAGAATTTCTTTTAAGGATATAAATCTCTTAGTCTCGTATTTCTATCTCAACAGCTTGGATATATCAAGTGCCAGTATCAAACGGATAAGAAAATACTATATGAAGTGCCGGGCATCCGTGGACAAATGGTCTCGTGAAGATTCCGACTATTAGCGCTATAACGCACGATTATGCCGAGGTCGTACGGCCCGATCCAGAATAATGTGTATACTGCCGATGGTCGAGCGACACGAACCATAGATGCGTCTATTATACTACCGGGGCGTTCGGCCCGCTCCACAAGAAAGGAAGGTAATTACCGAATTACAAGGCACGTGCTTACAATACAGTACATGAGCACAAAGCGAACATAACCTTTACCGTTTTCGTCACGATCCAATTTCTCCTATAGGTCATGATGGCACCCAATGTTACCGCTAGGCAAGCCAACAGTGAACTAACCATGCGATTATTTCTCTTAACAATTTAGAAATGGTTGATCTTTGATTAATGGATTAATAAAAGGTGTAAAATTAAATAACATGAGATATAGACAATTTTTAAAAAGCAAATGAGATGAAATACCTAATAAAAAATCACCAAGTGTCTACTAGCATGATCTTCAAGACCTGGTGTCACAAGTGTATGAGCTACTAGTAGAATATACAAAAATACTACACTACTGTCTGAAGCGAAATAAACAGAAAGTAAAAGCAAAAGAAAGACTTCGGGTGCTGCAGTACGGGCTAGGAAGGCAGCTCATCGCAAAGTCTCGTGGAATCAAGGATGTGCGCCAAACTGATAACCAGATGCACCTGTCTCAGATCCTGCACGATTTGTGCAGAAGTGTAGCGTGAGTACATACACAACATGTACCCAGTAAGTATCTAGTCTAACCTCGAAGAAGTAGTGACGAGGGGTCGACTTCGGCACTTACTATGGGATAACAATAAAATACCAAAATTATAATTAAACATGGGCTACGCAAATGAAGCTGAAAACTGAAAAACAAGAAATAAATAAACAATTCTTTCACTAATAGTAAATCTCAAATCAATTTCTATCATTTAACGACTTAACCTCTCAAGCCGATGAAACAATATCAAGTATAATTGGGCTCCAAGCATTGTTACGCACGAATTATTCCTAGTTCGCAGAAGCGTAATGGTGGTCGCAAAAGCGGTCAAGAGCTGAGTAGGGTAGTTCCGCAGAAGCGGAACCTTTATCGCGCAAGCGAGTCCGCAGAAGCGGACGGGCGATCGCAGAAGCGATCTTGATCTATAGATGGAGTTCCGCAAAAGCGGAGAATATGTCGCAGAAGCGGCCTTGGGTTTTTTTTAGTGAAATTCTGCAGAAGCAGGAAATGACCGCAGAATCGGTATCGCGGAAGCGGGTGTGGGGACCGCAGAAGCGGAAACCCCTGGAGCCAGAAGGGTTTTATATTCATTTTTGTTCCGCGAAGCTTATGTTATTTCCACCATTTTAAAGCGGTTTTGAGAGCTTTGAGCGAGAATTTTCGAGGGCTTTGACTGAGAATCAATTGGAGGTAAGTTCCCTGGTCTAAATATCCGATTTTATGGTAGAAATTACATGTAAATTATGGAAAATTCATCAAAAACGGGTCAAGCTAGG